TTGTCTGTAAAGCTTGTTTTCTTGAGAGGGGTCTTGGCTCTGCTGTGTCATATTGGTTTATGAATGCATCACCGCGGCGCCAGTGCCATAACCGAGATTTAAATGTCAGGTGACTTAAAGTGTAAGTAGGTTATAAAGATGAATTGCTGTAGAGAAAGTGTCTTTTTAAAGGTTGAAATGTTCGTTTATATTACGTGTGTTTCAAATATGTATTTTCTGCTTTTCTTATTTTCCCAATAATGAGATTATGCGGCACCTGGAGGTGAAGCACAGCTGAGGTCATAGCCAGACAAGATAATTTGGAACATTCATTCTTGTCATGTTTTATTCAATTGAGTTTGGTTTCCCTGCAGTGAAGCCAGAATCAGCCAAAAGTACACACACATATCTGACTTTTATTGAGAAATACATGTTGCAATAGAAACAACACTTCAGACTAAGCTAATGAAATGTGGCTGATTAGATTAGCTGAATGTATTTTAATGGCATTGCTGTCAATGAAGTGAGTTAGCCAGCAGACTGTAATGAAACAAAACTGACATTATTATAGTCTCTCCAGCTCTGTGTATCATATTAAATTGATTTAACCACGGCACAAGTTTTATGAAATGACAATGTTGCAAGCCACGTTTTAAAATGGTTTATGAATCACTTGAAGATGTAGCTATAAATGCCTCACTCTCAAAGATGTTTGCCTATTGTGTTACAGAATGCATTTCTTTTTTTTCTTTTCAGTCTTTATTTCGAACAGATTAAAAATTAAAAAATAACAAATGTGAAAAACAGAATACCGTATTATTATAATACAGTATTTATCCACATTCATGGTAATATTTGTATATTCAACAAAAAAAACTAAAAAAGGCTTCATATTAATAATAATAATAATAAATCATATGTGTCCGAAAGGGAGTAGGAGGAAGCAAATGCTTATTAATTCCCACCCCTTACTTGATCAATGATTGTCCTTTAAATCATTATGCAAGTTATTCCTACATACATTTACATTTATACAATTTCTCATCTTCAATCACCTTTCTTCATTCTCATATTTTTCCAAAAAAGTGTTTCTGTACATTCTTTTAAACTGAATTATGCATGTGCTTTGTTTTAACTCCTGCTCCATTCCATAAAATCACCCCACAGATTGTTATACTCATACTTCTCAGAGTTGTTCTGACCTTGAGTTGTTTAAAATGTAGATTTCCTCTCAAAGTATACCCACCCTCTCTGTCTCCGAACAATGTTTTTCATTTCCTAGGAAGTAGATTATGTCTGGCTCTGTACATGATTTGTGCCGTTTTAAATTGAACCAGATCAATGAACTTCAATATGTGTGACTTACATGAATGTGAAGGAGATACAAAATAACATTCAGAAAGTACCAAGCATCAGTGCTCTTTCCATTGTAGAAGCAATAGTCCCCACTGTGAGAAAAGCTGTACTTTCAAGCAGTATGCACATTTTACGAGCTCCATTACAAAATGTGTGCTAACACAGACATAAACAGGCCATAAAACCAGGGTTATCATCCTTGGGGCAAACCCGACTATTGGATTGCTGTTCTCCTCAGGATGGACACATGCTTATTGTGCTAAACAAACCCCTGCTCTCTTAGCAACAACACCTTTCAGCGTTTTCATTCCCCCTGCCTTTGGGGAGGTGTGTGTGTGTGTGTGTGTGTGTGTGTGTGTGTGTGTGTGTGTGTGTGTGTGTGTGTGTGTGTGTGTGTGTGTGTGTGTGTGTGTGTGTGTGTGTGTGTGTGTGTGTGTGTGTGTGTGTGTGTGTGTGTGTGAGCACAGGGAGCTGCACTTTTCATTACTCTCATAAGGTGATGTCAAGGGGTGAGGTTAGCTCGGGTCGTACAGCGTATCACAACTAGTGTCAGTGAAATGAGATGTAATATGTGGCAGAGTGGCGGTTATCAAACCATGCGTCCTTGCTGCAGACATTGAGAGCGGACATGAAGGGAAATGAAGCTTATGGTGGATGCTGAGATCTAAAAGGAGATGTCTCAGTCAGATAGATAACAGCAGAGCCTCTGAGCTTCCTGTGGAGACTGTCAGCGGAGCACAACGAAAATTATAAGACAGAAACATTTGCACTTAAATGCTATACGCTACAGCAACTAAAGGCTAAAGAGGTAAACAGATAATGTCATCAGTAAGATGCATGTTTAAAGTATCACATGTGACGGAATCTGAGCACACTTATGCAGCCGTGACCAGTGTCCTAACCTGCAGAGGACAAGGCTGTCACAATCTCATCTCCGATGTGCATCCATTACTGTGTAGAATGATAATGGGCCAGAGCCACTACAAGGGCAAAGCCAAACACTAACATGATTATGGTAATGACTGCCAACAGCTACTCCTCTAAGCGCCAGGGAGCACCGCACTGAAAAGGCAATTCCTAACAATTAATCAAAACACATAAATAGACATAATGTCGTTGACTTTCACGTCTGGCAGACAAGCGATTGGTGAATGTTGTTGATATCACAAAAGCTATTCAACCATTGTGATGCATGGGGCTGGTGGTGGGGGGATTTGGCAGGCTACAATGCATCATGCCAACATTTAGTTCACACTTTGTCAGCAAATATAATTAGCTAGAATCACAACTTTTACACGTGAGAGATATGCCAAGATATTTTTAACATCCATCTCTGTAACTGGCCTATACAAACTGACAGGTTGTATTTCAGACTGAACTGTCCCGAGGGGTTCTCGTTGTGATGACAAACCACATGGGATGATATCAGTTGTTTTACTGCTTGATATGGAAAATATACAGAGAATAATGCTTTAAATTATGTTAATTGGGAAGAAGTCAGAGCTTTAGGAATTGTAATTAAACTGCAGTCCTGATACCAGCTCTGTTAGGCTGCCTTTACTCTGCACGGGTTGGCTTGATTCGACTCACTTTTGGTACCAGGTCCTTTTCTCCATTTCATTTTCCACTGCAGATATTACCCCTCTCAGTTTATCACTCGGTGACATCACCAACGCAACACTTACAGAATCCTTTTTTCTTGCAACCCAACAGACAAACGTCTGCACTTCATCCGTTGTGCAGCATAGTTTACATTTTTTTTTTTTGTTGCTTCAGGGTATGAATACTAAGGGGCGGTATTGACAGCAATTACTTTCTGTAACCAATCTATGTAGTGTTCTTATTCCACCTTCTATTATTGGCCCAGAGCTTGGAACCTCGACCTACGTGCCACAAACTGTTGTATCTTACCGTACCATGCAGTTGAAATGAGACATGATAGGCACATCATTGCTTTGAGCTAATATGCTAACAATATATAATGTTTAGTGTGTTGGCATGCTGCTACCATGGCCAAAAGCAAAAGGGATAATTTACTTTTTTTTCTAACTAGCTAACTAACAGAAATTACGAGGTAAATAATGATGAAAATATAATTTGTATCTTTATGTCTGATCAACTTAATATCATATCTACATTCAGCAATTACAGATTGAGCCATTCTTATCAGATAATATTGGGTAGTTTCAAATGATATGTGATTTACAACAATGTTTATGCTAATTTCTGCCTAATCAGATTCAGTGTGAGGATTTGAGTGAATTATAACAATGCACTGTGTTTGACATCTTACCGATTGTGCATTACACTGCCGAGAGGAGCGGCACTGGGTGTAAATCCTAACACCTCTTCCAGCGCACCACTAGCCTCAGTACATACACTGCAAAAACTAAGCCTAAAAAAACAAGTAAAATAAATAATAAAATGAGTAATATATTACTTAATATAAGAAAAATTATCTGCCAACAGAACAAGAAAAATTCACTTGCCAAGACCTTCTTAAAACAAGTAAATATATCTAGCCTAAAAATATCTACATATATCTTAAAACGAGTGTTTTTAAACCAAAAATAAGTACATTTGAATTGATGCAAGGAAGGAATATAATCTTATTATAAGGAAAATGTGCTTGAATTCAGCATATTCTACTGCTATTGTCCCAAAATTCTATTTTATGTTAGGCAACATTTCTTAAATCCAGTGCAGCTTCACTTTAAACAGGTATATTTGTCTAGATACAAGATAAGATTTAAGAATTATTTTCTTAATATGTAGAAAAATCTACTTAAATTCAGCATTCGGTGCTATTCTTAAAATAAGGCTAAATACCAAGAAACGTAGAGACAAAACCTTCAAAAATCTTTAATCCTATCAAGATATAAACTTTGACTGCTTGCATAAAGAAAAATGAGTCTCAAATGATTTCTTTTAATGTTTTTATTGTTTTCAAACTGCGTAGTAAAGGTCAGTCATCAGATATGTCTTTAGAAAAAAAGAGAACATTCTTTCACTGTAAAATACAACACAAGTGAAATTCTCATGACACTTTTGACTCAGCGAACAATTTTCAATAGGACTATAAGTATGAGGGGCCGCTAGGGACATTATTCAGAAATACCGTTCACTTACACATGTGAAACACTCTCACACACACAACTGAAACCAAAATAATTTACAAACATATCTAAAAATCTCTCATATACACATATGAAACGCTCTCACACACATGACATCCAAAGTTATTCACACACACATGTGAAACGCACGCACTCACACCTGAAACTCTCTCACACACGAAACGCTCTCCCACAGATATGAAACGCTCTCACACACATGAAATGCACTCATATACACATGAAATGCACATTTCTAAAAGGCGAGATGCCTTCCGTTTCAACTGAAATCCCTCTCACACAACATATTGAAATCACATTTAATGTGTATATGAGTGCGTTTCATGTGTGTGTAAGAGCGTTTCACATGTGTGTGTGTGTGAGGGCGTTTCAGGTGTATGCGAGTGCGTTTCAGGTGTATGCGAGTGCGTTTCAGGTGTGTGTGTGTGAGTACGTTTCACATGTGTGTGTGTGAGAGCGTTTCATATGTGTATATGAGAGATTTTTACATATGTTTGTAAATTATTTTGGTTTCAGTTGTGTGTGTGAGAGTGTTTCACATGTGTAAGTGAACGGTATTTCTGAATATTGTCCCTAGCGGCCCCTCATATATAAGTGCCCTAATCACTTATGAACTTTTTCCAGTCGGCCATAGCCTTTTTGTATGAAGTAGTCATGTCACGGTCGTGAATGGCGTCCAAGAGGACTTCTGTCTGCACCACAGACAGGAGTGTTGCAATGCACTTAGGATAGGTGAGGTGAAAGGTGTAATAACATGCCATGAGATACATCACGCTTTCATGAATGTCCTCTTTTGGGAAGATGAGCACGGGCATGGTTCCAATGGCCAGTATACAGTTGGTTTCGCAGATGATGACAACAGGGCTGGAAAGTGGTCGTGTCTGAAGAAAGGTGTTTGGGTCTTCTGCAGACTGACACAAAAACAGACAAAGAAATCGTCACAAAAAGGGAAACAAATATGATCACAACATTTCACTCTTTGTATCGACATGAGAAAATTCTTATACATTTTCTTACCTCAAGGACGTGGAGCACAGCCTCACTTGCGTGCCTTAACTTCTTGGGTGGGGCCATAGGTGATGGGAACATCTCTGGTAAAGCCTTCATCATGGCAATTGAGTGCTTTACTGTTGAAAAAAAAAGTGTCATTCCGTTTCCTGCAGTCAGTTAATAAACAGACATGGTCAGAGATAATAATCACCTTTGTCAAGCTGCGGAGGCCTCATGAGCTTTTTGAAAACTCCATAAAACTGTGCCCTCTCACAAAAGGTCCCCCACCGGGTCTTAAGTTCCGTTAAGAAGTGGGAGTTGCCTTGATTGAGGACCCGCCGTAGTTCATCCATTAGCTAAAACAACGAGAGAGAAAATATGTAGAAGAAATATTAAAATCTACATTCCAAAGGTTAGTAATTCGTCTCATAACTGAATTTCCAAAAAAAGATTAATATGTGTATAATGTGATTTAAATGGTCACTTAACAAAAATATGCACATAGAAACATGTGTTTTTTTGCAAATGTATGTCTTATGCACACACTATTTTTAAATACGTATTGTGGACCAATAATACTAACAAAATAATGTTGTGTGTATCAGAAGCACATTTGTGAAATTAGTTATTTTTAAATAAGTGGAGGGTTTTTATATATCTATGCAGAATAAATATTTGTATTCAATAAGCATATTTGAGTCATTCATTTATAAATAATGAGACAGATCTGATTTAATTGTCACACCATTTCTCATTTCAAATTTGGTCTAACGTTATCTGAATTAGGAAGCATAGTTGTACAACATTTGCTTACATGATCCAGTTCTCCAAAGCAAGGATAAGCTTTAAGAATCTTGGAAGGCCTGTCCTGCTCCTTTGTAACATCAGAGTCAATGAAGGCCCTTCTCGCTTGGATTTCGAGGTCCAGGAGCTGAGCAACATCCATCTTGTTCGGTCTGGCCTTAGTTTTATACATCGCCTGTAGAGTCTTATAGTGTCTCGCCTGGGTCTGTGGGCTCTCCGTTTCTGATGCTAGAAAACATAAACCCCACTATTTTCATTTCTGATGTTAAAGTTGAAATGAGACATTAACACACAAACAGCCATAGTGACTGACACAGGGCAAACATAGATGAGTAATCTTGAATAAAAAAGGGTTCTAAAATAGCTTATTGATATTATTAAATTTTCTTGAAGAGATTTAACTATCTACTATTTCAATTTATGTACTTACCACATAACTGTTCAGCCTCCGGGGTGCTGCATCGAGATGGTGGTGATCTCTCCAAGATCAAGGTTGATGCGGTGGATTCATCAGTCTCATCAGTGTACGTCTCATGGCTGCTCTGAAAGCTTAAACTCCTAGGCCTCTTTCTTGAAGGAGTTGAACCCTGCTTCTTTTTGGGGGTTGTCACATTCTGGACCCTTTTCAAAAGCTGCTTTTTCACAGTTTCCTTACAAGACAGACATACAACAGGTTCTGTTATAACTCACATAAAACAAACTTGTATCAAACAAAATACACCATACAAGCAGTTGCACAGAGCTCTTATTGAACTGGATAAAACACATCACTCCCAGTTTGATAGGCAAATGATTGCAGTGCTTTGTCTGAACCATGAGTTGAAAACTTGAATAGTGACATACCCACTCAGCTCTACTGGTTTGAGATCTGTCCCGAAGCATTGGGTAGTACTCAAGCAGACGCTTCGCCATTACAGTGAGTTCACGGCTGCATGGATAGTTAAAGTCATCCCCAGCTGCTCTTTTAATGGAAAGCATGCTTGTGACTGTATTCCTGATTAATCGACAGCGAAGATCTTTGGAAAGGACGTAGTCTCCTTCTTCTCCAGCACGCTGCTTTTCAGAAAAGGTGCTTCGTGATTGCTCCAATTCTGTGTCTGTGTATAAGACATACAGTGGACTGGGAAGCTGTACGGTTCTGCTGGCACCATGTTGGGGTTGTGGGCTTTGAGAGGAGAAGGAGGGTGGAGAAAAGACGGGGGATGGAGAGGGGTTGGGGCAGGAGGAGGAAGAGGAGGAAGAGGAGGGAAACAAGGAAGGTTGGGGGTAGGAATAGGGCTGAAATCACAAGTCCCATGGGAGGTACTCGGTCTACACAGGTCTGTCTCCTGGCCCTGTATAAAAGATGCATATATATATATAAAATGGTATTTACAATGAAAAGAGCACTACGCTGTGACAACAACAAAAATCAACACAACCAAAAAACTCCACTTCAAATAACTGCATGATGACTAGGAAAGGCTTACTTGGTAACCGGTTTAAAGTCCCTCAAATGTTAGAATCTGGAAACACCTCATTTTCATCATGATTGAGTCTCCAAATGGTTCTTCTTCTTCTGAAGTGCTCAGGCCCGGGAAGGAGATCACGCAAGTCCTCCTTAGAGAGGCTGGGCAGCATGTCTCTGCTTATATTAGCAGCTGAAAACACATTTAACCACACAGTTAATAATAAGGTAAAAAGCAACTAATAACATATTTATCTAAATACATAAAATGAAAGAGTAATGTACATTTCTGGCTGGCTTCACAAGATTTTCTTTAACATTAAAAAATGTATTGCACTTACTTATAATTGATTGAAAAAATTGCTGTTACAATAGGTTCATCCAGAGTTAAAGTTATTTTGGCCAAATGAAAATGCACCAGGGAAATGAATAAACGAGGCATGTTGTTAGGATAAATCCATAACACAAATGTGTAAAATCTCATAGGCTATAAAAGTTATACATTTTCAGCATCTTTTATAGTACAATAAAACAAATCTTGATGTTTAAGAGCAAACACAGTTAAACTTATTTTCAAAACAGTGTCTTTACCTTGAAATCTTTATTCAAATAAGCATAATTTACGTCCCAAGCCTGCTTATATCCAAAGGACAGTGTAGTTTCAATAGCCTGCACTGCACTATCATACAACAACGCATTTGTAAATGCTGTCTACAACAAAGAAGGGCGCCAAAGATGGCTATGCTAGTGTACAACAAAGAAGGGCGCCAAAGATGGCTATGCTAGTGTACAACAAAGAAGGGCGCTAAAGATGGCTATGCTAGTGTACAACAAAGAAGGGCGCCAAAGATGGCTATGCTAGTGTACAACAAAGAAGGGCGCCAAAGATGGCTATGCTAGTGTACAACAAAGAAGGGCGCCAAAGATGGCTATGCTAGTGTACAACAAAGAAGGGCGCCAAAGATGGCTATGCTAGTGTACAACAAAGAAGGGCGCCAAAGATGGCTATGCTAGTGTACAACAAAGAAGGGCGCCAAAGATGGCTATGCTAAATACTTTACTGTCAGTTGTGGAAGGCTCATTTGCTTCTTGACATTATTTCTGGCAATAAAACAGTATCAACTAAAATGTTAACCACGATTTGTCGATTGTGCAGTTATTAACAGCTTACAGTAGATATTAGCTAAGTTAACTAGATATGTAGCCAGCCTAGCTAAGTCCAACCGATTCAAATAATGTAAAGCTTGTTGGAGAGGTGCAGTATAAAATACAAAATTACATTACCTTTTAATGCTGCAGTTGCTATAGGATCCAAGCATGTGATATCTCTTCCATTTTCATCCATGGCGTAGTTTTAATGTTCAATCACTTGCAGAGGTTCAGTCTTCTGCCTGAAGGAAAGCTAGCCAGCAACGTCCTGAAGCTAGGTGCACCTGACCTAACACACGCCCTTAACGGACCCTCTTCGCGGTTCCCATTGGAAGGTACCATTTCTTAAAGAGGGGTGACAGAGATATTTTATATGTTGCAAATATTAGGAATATTAATAACTGATGCGGTCATAGGTAACATTTCAAACATCTGTTTCTAGATGCACATCATTCCACAAGTTATTCCCAGGCATTATTATGACGTGTATATATATATATAGGAAGACGACTCACCGGCCTCCCCCATACAGCTAGAGAATGTGATAAACCCACTTCATTAGTTATTTTCCCCAACGTGTACATGGCCTGCTGCAGAAACGTTTTAATATCGTTAACTTTTGGAAGATTTCACGATGCTTTGGCGGTGCGTTATCTGCTGCGTTTTTATAACTTTTTCACTGAAATTATTATTGAGCCATATTAATCGACTGCACAGTCGCAGCTCTGACTTCAGGTTGCTCTGTGGCATTGATGGATGCACTGAGGAATATAGAGTGTACAACTCATTCTACCATCATGTAAAGAGAAGACACTTTCAACATCTTCTTGAAGACACCAGACCTGGCGACGCCACACGTGGAGATGAAAACCGACAGGAGGAAACCCAAGGACCGCAGCAAAAAGTAAGTAACGTCTGCTAATTCAGCTAAGATTGTTAGCTACAGTGTTTGGGCCACGTGGCCACTCGGATACAGGGTTAGTTTCGTACATTTTGTGATGCTACAGATAGCGTTAGCCAATACTGATCAGCCACATTTAGTTATTATAAATCCATTAGCATTAACTAATGAATCTGCTAGGCTACAAGCAGGCGGCATCTGTCAACCATATATTTTTAATTCAGCAGTTAGCTATGTAGTGTTTTTGTGGGGATGAAAAAACCGTTAAAAATATGCATTACGTTGGTGTTCGGCCACAGTTACTAAAACTGTAAATCACAAAAATTATGGTTTTCCACTTTTTCACTCTGCAATATTCTGCAAGGTGCATGCATCCCTGTCAGGATCTGCACATGATTTGTTGAATTCACAGTTTTAGCAAATCAGAAATAAATCTCAAATTCTTTACCCACTATTAAACTTAAAACAAAAATAAATAGATTTTCAGATTTGATTAGAAAAAAAAGTTTCGTGGTTTTGTTTTCTGGACTGAAAAAATGTAATAAAGAGTGTTACCCAGACAATGGATAAAGTGCTACGGCTTACAGTTAATAATTGTTGCTGAAATAACTCTTACCCCCAAAGTTTGTTTAATGTGAAAATAATCTTAGATAGAAAGGAATTACATATTTAAATTGCTCTTTTAGTGAAGCTAATTTTTTAATTTTTTACAATTTCAAACAATCTTGTTTCTTTGATATGTTGTACACAGGACAACATTCAACCCGATCAGCTTCCAGCCGACTCCAGCAGCGAGGATCAGAACCTTCACACACCTGACTCAGTTGAAGAGCAAATGGGCATCGACCAAGATGGAGCTGTCACAGTGCACCAAGTATGTTTTCTTTGTTGTTGACTATCTACTGAAAATTAAGGGCTGCTAAATAAAGGTCAGGCCGATATAGTAGTGGCTAATATTGGCCTAGCATATAATTTATATATCAATATTATGTTGAAATATTTCATTTAAATTCACCAAATGATTCATAAAACCTAGAGGTATATGTGAAGATGTATTTCTATGTGCTGTACTAGCAAAACTAAATGAACACATAAAGAGTTAGAATGGCTTATTGTCTTGTTGGAGTACTAATGTTTGATATGTTTTGGTCAGAGTTACAAAATATTAAATTATCTATCTTTGCTCACCACATGTCACCAGTTTTTTATCATCAGATGTGCATACATTTAAAGATTATATATTTCTGTCACATTGAGTAATGTTATACCTGCAAATGTCAAGTTACTACATTTTGTATTGTAGGATCTGACAACACATGCCACTGCCTTTGTTATCAATGCCCGATCCAAGCATCGTCTGTCACAGGTAAAATGCTTCCTATGTAACCTTTTTGGACTAAAAGCATTATGCCATGTGTGATCTGCTTCTCAGAACATATTAACAGGAAATATTTTGTGTGCGACAAAGAAATGCAAATGAGCATTTATTATCCAGAAATTCAAGCCATTCACTCTGACTAACCCAGTAAGGGATTTCCCATATTTTATTACAATTTATAACCAGACACAGTGTAGCCATATATTAAGTTAGACCTAGTTTTTCTTTGAGAACAGAGCACAGTATTTGGCTACCTACTGTACACAGTTAGCAGTTAATAGTGGTTCACTGATGGCCGAGTTCAGTTTTAGTGCTTTGTTATCCACTTTACTGTTGTGTCTATGTCATAAGCAAAACTGTATATCACATAAAGCTACAGTGATCATGATAATGTTTACCAACATCAAAGATTGATCACATCGCTTTCAATCTCTCATTTTCAGAAAGGCATGAATGACATTGTTGCTGGGGTACAGCAGTATCAATCATCACTATTGGACAACCTCAGGACGCAGATGAAGGAAGTTCTAAAGAAGAATTCAGGAAGTACAACCAATCAACTTGGAAAAGATGCAATGGATATATTTGACAGTTTCATTGACCCCTTTGCTAACGTTTCAACAACATTTCGCCAGAACAGTGTTATTAGGAAGCAGTTTTGTTGTGTGGATGCAGAGGAAATTCCAATTGCTCGAACCATATGCAGGAAGAAACGTGGAGGATCAACAGATTTTGTCATCAAAGACAAATTATTTTATTATGTACCATTAGTCAAAAGTGTAGAGCAGTTCCTATTACATCCGAGGATTTTGACTATGATTGAAGAGGTACCCCAGAGGTGCAGTGAAGGTTTTTTTCATGACCTTGTTGATGGTTCTCTTTTAAAATCTCATCCCTTATTTTCAGAGAAACCAAATGCACTGCAGATTATTCTGTATACAGACGAAATAGAGATCTGTAATCCACTAGGATCCTTTTCATCAAAGAACAAGTTGTTAATGGTGTACTACACCCTAGGAAATATAAATCCAAAATACAGGTCTAAGCTGGCTGCTATTAGGCTACTTGCGATGGCTAAATCAGCAGACCTCCGTCAATCTGGTGTAGATGTAATATTGAATAGAATAAAGGAAGACATGGATGCATTGTACAGTGGTGTTAAAATTCAAACTATTAACGGGGAGAAAACAATACATGGTGCTATGGTTTCTCTCTGTGGTGACACCCTGGCACAGCATGAACTCGCAGGGTTCAAAGAAGGAGTGGGCTTTGCTTACAGTAAGTGCAGACACTGTGAGTGTTCTTTTGAGGACATGCAGTCACAATTCAACGAGGATGCATATATTAAAAGAACATTGGAGAATCATGTCAGACAGTGTGATGAAATAGAAAAGGCTAACACAGACTTGCTTCGCAACAGCCTTAGAACAACATATGGGATCAATCGAAGGAGCAAGTTAGTTGACTTCCCATCCTTTGATATTATTCGGCAAACCCCGCAAGACATTATGCATGTCATTCTTGAGGGTATAGCTCCTCTGGAAATTAAATGTGTTTTGAATCATCTTGTTCAGTCAGGAGAGTTAAATCTGGACTCTGTGAATTCAGCTATTCTTGGTTTCCCTTATTCGCCTCTAGATGTTAGAGATCGACCATCCCCAATTTCTCCGAGTACACTGATGTCAACTGATGGTAAACTAAGGCAGTCATCAGGGCAAATGCTTGTCCTGTTGAGGATATTGCCATTTGTTTTGGAACATTTGAAAGTCAATGCATATGTGCAGTTGATAATGGACTTAATAGAGATTGTTCAAATAGTGTTTGCACCTGTTCTTACCATTGCAACTGTGTCAAGGTTAAAGTTACTGATTGAAAGTCATTTGAAGCATTGGAAGGAGCTTTTTCCAGACCACAATGTTACACCTAAGCAGCATTACATGATACATTTGCCATCACAGATAGAATCATTGGGTCCCATGGTCAGACATATGTGTATGCGGTTCGAGTCTAAGCATTGTTTATTTAAGCAATGGGCCTCCAAGCTCAATTTTAAAAATGTATGCAAGTCTTTGATTAATCAGAACCAAATATATGAAAGCTGCCAAAATGTTGACCCTTCCAAGCACCCAATTTTTTCAAATGAAAAGGAGATGGGTCCTGTATCTGAGGTTAGAGATCTACAATATTTACATGGGAAATTGAGGGACTTCCTAGGTTTTAGTGAAATTAACCATGCTGTATCAGTGAAATGGCTTGTGATAAATGGTAATAAATACATTACTGAGAAGTCCTTGATCCTTGCCAATGTACTAAATGGTAATACACCCGAATTTGGACTTGTCAAAAGCATATTTCTTGTTGATTCTAAGCTTTATTGTTTGGAATATCAGCCTTTTCAGTCCATATGCTTTGATAGAAATGTTATGGCTTATCAAGTTGAGGTCCCACACCTTGCACAGGCCACTGAGTTAGTGGATGCTGAAAAGCTGGTTGATTTTACCTCTTATTACACAATCAGCAGAAAGGGCCAAACCTATGTACAAGTGAAATACTATCTTGGGGATGTAATGGAATTACACAACAGTTCAAATGACTCATAGCGTGTTCCTTTGATATGATGATGTTGAAACATTTAAAGCAAACTTAGCAGGTTTAAATGTAGGACTAAGGTCCTGACTTAGGATATGTTATTAGCAGATTCAAATGTTAGCTGTTTGGATTCCAGATGCGTTTTGCATTATAGTTTGCAGTGTACCTAAATCATCTGTATCTTTGTATAATACTGGGTCTTTCTTTCAGGTTGTTTTAAATGTTAATTACATAACATGTTATCAGCCATTTAGGTGTTTATCACAATGCTGTTTATGTTTGCTAAATGCCCTTGGCCTGAATAATGTTACCTACTTTAACTTTTCAAATGAGATGTTTGCACATATTGCTCAATCACTTTAGCTTGCTGAAGAATAATACATGCTGAAAAGAATGTTCTTAATGCAGTAGTTTGACTTGGCTGGTGCTGTTATTTCTGTATACTGCATTTCATATATGGACATACTTAATTGATGTAGCCTACTGGGTTTTAGAGCGACAATAAAACAATGAATTTCATTTGGTCCTTATCTGTTTTTAATATGTTAAGAGATGAAAAAGGATAGGATGCTTGCAATAAGATATTCTGACTTTGAAAAAGCAGTTTTCTACTTATCAGTGTTGATCTAATATCTTTAGAATTATGGTATTTCTCAATTTAAACATTAATTTACTCAGAATCAGTATTAAAATCTCAAAAACAAGTAATAAAACCTCATTAAGATAATGAAGTAAAAAAACACTTAATGGAAGTGAAATTCACTACAGCAAAAACTTCTTTGTAAGAGGAAATATCTTGGCAGACAAAATATAAGCATATTTTGTCTTGATTTAAGATATTTCATCTTAGTAAGATTTCAGTTTTTGCAGTGTACACCTAGTAATCTAATATACAGTGTGTGTGATCACTCGAGCTTGTGCTTAAATGTGGGTGTTCAGTACCACTTCTGCACAGACACAGATGGTCCCCCTCCCCTTCTAATACCACCTTCCCTTCCCACCTTTTAAGAAAATACATTGGTTTGATTTATGATACCCCCATTAGCAACTTCCTCTTTTGCTCCTCTTTTCTCTTTTCGTTTAATTGCTACAGTTTCTTTCTCTCACCTTTTTTAACATACTAAGGAAATAATACGAGAAGGCGCTGCTTCTTTGTGAGGTTAGAGTAACGCTGTAGTATGCCTGTGGGCGTTGGATCTGGAGACAAAGCCTATCTTGTACAGAAACCACCCAAGGCTAAACCCACATGCAGGACTCTCCTTTCATTGGGGAGAACTTTATATACGTTTCCTATATAAACTACCCTGCAAATCTCAAGGGATATCTCTGCTTGTGTTACTGGTTTCAGGCAAAATGAAAATTACTAAACCACAATAAACAATGAACTTTTTCGTTTTTCCCGTTTATGTTTTTATCGTTTATGTTTTTATCGTTTTTCCTTAAACACATGCTGGGATTTGTCACCCTCTGTATCACCATGGGCAGGAATATAAGCAAGACAAATGTATGGCTCTTATCAAACAGTAGCTTACGGGTCCTCATTTTTCAGCGAGGGCCTGCACTCACAGGTATACATTGCATTATTACATTATGAAAAATATAGCACTGGAAGACCTGCTCTTATTTGATTTTCAACATTCATATGAATGCATGTATTACGTGTTCTTCTCTTGTAGTCAAGGCATGCAGCAAATGATGGTGAAGATAATACACAAGTTAGGCAACTGCTATGTGTGTGATCACATTTACAAGGGTACAAAAAAAGGTTTATTTTTAAGTCCTAGGATTCCAGTGAGTTGGATTGTGTTCCCTGAACATCTTAAAGTAGTGAATGGTTTGTGTTCATTCGTAGAGAGAGGACAGCTCAGCTGTGATGGAGTTGTATTGATCCTCCGTCAACACCACACATGCTAAATCCTCTTCTTGACAACTGTGATTGAACACTTTACAGATATTTGGCTGTGTGTAGTGAAGAAATCTAAAGTGGAAGTACTTTTTATTTAAAGGTCACCTATCATGCAAAATGTACTTTTTTATGTCTTTATACATAAGCATGTGTCCCCTCTGTGTAAAGATATTCTGAAAGTTTCAGGAAAAAAGATTCTCTCTCTTTTTGTCCTGATCCATTTAAAAACCTGTCTGAAAATGAGCTGATCGGATTTTGGCCACTTTATGATGTCATAACGATTTGTTGGCTTGTGTAACCATTAGCCAATCACCAACCAAGGTAACACCCGCCCACCTTATCACCTGAATCTCCTCCTAGAGCGCCATTGTGTTCTTTTTAACCAAATCTCTCTCAGAGGGGCATGGGGAGGGGCTCCTTATTTTCATCTAAAGTAAAATACAGAGAATCAGCACTTTTGAAACAGGGCTGAAACAGAGGGGATTATGGGATGCTACAATGATCTGTTTGGTGTTTGGAGCCAAACACTTCAGAGACATGTTTGTATATATCCGAGACCTATTATATATTGAAGAAAAAGAGTATAATAACAGACCTTAGGCACTTTCACACCGGAGTACTTTTCCCAGGAATAGTTCCGATAGTTCCTGTGACTTTGCGAACCTTTTCACTCCTTTTTAGTCCCTGTTAGAGAGCAGGGACTTTCCTGGGGAGAAAAAGGTTCCAATTTCTGATTGGCTGGGCGAATTGCAAACCACGCCCCGTAAAACTCGGAAAAGTTTTGTGAAGCCGCCATTGTATTTGCTGGCATTAGCATTATTAGCATTAGCCCAGCGCACCAACGGAGAGAGACTAACTTATGGCAACACAAAAAAAAACATGGGGGCGGTGGAGTGATGAGGAGGTGCCAGTCCCCTACTCCGGGGACTTCCAGCCGGGAACTTCGGGTGGCAGTATACGCCGTGAAGTTGTTTGCGGCCTGCCAGTAAACCCAAAGCAGAAGAAGAAGAAGAAGTGACGTCAGCGGCTTCATTTGCCTAATCCTCCCTCAGGGACTTATTCCGGTGTGAACGCGATCTGCTCTTTAGTTCCGGGAACTAAAGAGTTCCGATGAGCTAAGTACTGGGAACCAAGTACGGCAAAGTACTTGGTGTGAAAGCGCCTCTTTAAGTAAAGTACCATGGTGTGTGTCAGGACCTCGGCACAAACTGATGAACCCAAATGCACGACCCAGAGACAAAGTCTTGAATATACAAAAATGTATATTTATTTATACAGTTCAGGTAATCCCTCTTAACAGAGTAGGTGGTAGAAATAACAAAAGGCGCTCACAAGGAGGAAAAAACTAGCGTAACAAAAAGAGGACTAAAAACCCTGGGTTAACCCTAACCCTAATCCTGTTAGGCTAAAAACTTTAAAAAACTTAAGCCTAACAAAATAAACAAAACCTGACATGAGTGAAAGCGATCCTTTCTGAGTTGAGGCTTGGCACAACCATTCGAGGAAACAAACAAGACGAACTGACACAGGACAGGGAGAGACAGGACTATTTAAATGTGGGTGAGTGGGAACATGTGGAAACAATCAGGGGCGGGGCAGACACTGATGATGGCGGGGAAAAAAACACAAGGGGAGGAAGAAAACAGAGCCTGAAATGAAAGACAAGAGGGAAATACAAAATAAAACAGGAAATGACAGACAAAAACATAAACATAACTAACACATTTGACAAGACACAACAGTGTGGCAATACTCTTAAGATATCCAATAAAAACAATGGAGGGAAAGTACAATATCTGCTGCCATATAGTGAGCAGAGAAAATGAAAGTGCACAAATAAAAAAATATATAACTTTCTCCAAATATCTTTTTGCTTAATATACATGTAAGTAGTACAATGACCATTTGTTTCTAATCATTCAAGTTTAGACACACATCAGTTTGGTTACTGCAGCAAAGATGTGTTGCCGTTGAATTGAAAGATCAGCGTACCAGTTCGTTGCCAATGCAATTATCTGAATGTTGCAGATGTGTATTTTAAACTGTTTCAATGTTTTGACTGCCTAATATTTCACTGTAAATGTGTGTAAAGATGGTATGCAGTAGAGCACAGTTACATAACGTGCATTCTCAAAACAGTTACGACCTACACTGAATTTAAATGTTCTTCTGAGGTAGGTTAATTTGTATAAAATATAGATTGATGATAATGACAAGCATGTGTCCCCTGCTGTGTCAATAGATGACTTCACTGTGAAAACGGCCAGTTTGATCGACTGTAGGAAGAGGACGATGTGTAAAATGCGAATAGATACGCCAACAGCCTGCAGAGGATCTGGCCGAGGCTGTGTACTAAGTGTTTGTAGTTACATTAATGCAGCGGTTTGTGCCAATTCTGCTCTTCTACATACCTGTGTGCACAAATGGGGGCGATGCCTAGCAGGAGACCGTTACAGTCTTTGACTCAGTGAGATTAAAATGCATTTTGTAGAGTAGATGTTGGGTGCACATGTATGAGACCTGAAAGTGAAGGTAACTGGGTTCTTACTTTTTTTATTTTTGTTCTACTTTGTTTACTACTCTCCCTTTTTTAAATGTTGTTGATAAGTCATAAACTAATACAAAAAAAGTGAAGGAAGATTTCAAGGACTATAATCAAGCATTCTGGTGACTTTTGTGCCAACAGTTATGATCACTAACAGAACCATTATCTACTCCTATAGAGACTATAAAATTAATGACTCAGAATAATCTAATTTTCTGCTTCATTATTAATTTGCTCCTCGGCAGCTGTTATCAGGAGGGAGAGTCCTTTAAAAATGATCGGTTCCAATATGTTTGTTGCAGCGAACGTACGAGCTGTTCATGTTGTACTGCCTTCTAGCTAATACTGAACAGACAGAGGTGATGACTGTTATGCATCTTATATTGCTACTAGGAAACTAGGAAAAATAATGTGTATATGTACATTTATGATCTGTAATGCAAAACAAATCCTGTACAAGAATAATTTAAAACATTGTATACTAATTCAGGTGAGTTTTAATGATGTGGCAGCTGATTTGAATTGGTCTTCATACAATATGGACATAATTCACTCACAGATGAAGCTAACACATGCTACAATTTACAATAAAATGCATGAAACTATTTCCTTAAAT